CCCCAAAACCCCAAAACCCCATGGATATGCGAAATTGCTAAAAACAATTTAAGTAATAAATAATCCATTTTAATATTCAAGCTGCTGTTGGTGGGATATATTACTCTTGACATTTTTACAAAATATCACCTTAGAATTTTATTTTTTCAATATGTGCTTTAAAATCAGAATAACTGCAAGTTAAAGATTTAGATCCTCGTTAATTATTTCCATCCAAACAGGTATCAAATGACAAAGGCTTTCCCTCATGAAGAACATGCACACTAAAGCAAGTTTCATCTTTTTTCGAAGTAATACAATCACTATCATAAAAGAGTTCGAAGTAAATGTTGGAGGAGTAGGGCACATCAATGAAATCATAATTATGTGGATTTAGCCACAGTAGCATATTTGAAATTTAGTCGTCATGAGCTGAATTAATCACATACTTTAGGTCATTTTTATTATCCTTGGTATCTCCACTATTCTTAATTAAACTATCAACTCTATCTTGCATATACTTCAAAGGCTTAAGCATTAACTTAGTCATACTCAATTGTCTACCATCATCTCCTAAGGGTAGTGTGAGTACCCATTTCTAAGTGTTGCGAGAAAGCGAGCATTATTCTGTACTAAGGAAATATGAATGTGGGTAACCCTCGAAGGTATAGCCTTTAATCTTGTCCTAAATTCGATAGCATCCTTTAAAGTCAAGTTTACTAATTTCATCATCAGTCATGTTTTAAGACTTCCCAAGTGCTTTTCTGATTGAAGGTACTATATAAGATGACACGTCTGCAAAAATTTTCTCAGCGTTTTTGTTGTAATTATAGCTGCTTTCATCATCTGCTTTAGGGCAGGATTCGAAATCATCATTATTTGTGTTTATATAGTTATAAACTGGTATTAGAGTATATCCATCAATGGTTGATCCAAGATCCTCTTTATTATAGAGAGCTTTATTCAGATCTTTCGGATTTCTTATCTTAATTTTTGGCATTCCTTTGCCTGAACTCAAACTTTCTCTCTCACCTTGAGTTATTGTTGACTAAACTTGAGGATATAAACCCATAAGCTCAGAGTAAGCACTCTAGAGTGTTCTGTGAACATCGGTACTCTCCACAAATATTTAATTAGGATTATAAGTCTCATCAATAAACTGGAGCTAGTCAATGTAGCGCAATCTGTTATACTTTCCAAGCAGAAGCTTTTATCTCATTCCCGAGTGAGTCAAGTAACCTACTGGCACTTAGAAAATCCAAGGATCAGAGCTTCTCAGTGGAGCTCTAGCTCCATGTCTGACTAATTCAAATACAAATCCTAGTTGATCATCACTTAGAACATTTGTGATAGTACCAGCCAGTAGAATTAAAACTGCTAAAGATTTCATTAAGATTTAAATTTATTATTAAATTATAAGATTTTATTAAAGTACTAAATATCATCTATAATAGTATGCTGGGGTTTTGGGGTTTTGGGGTTTTGGGG